TTTTCGGGGCGTCGACCCGATGAAATCGGTACCGGGTCGGCACCGCACCGAATAGCGAAATCCGGAAATTAAGTAAATAAATAAAGCGGAGAGAAAGTATTTATACGTGGAAACCCAAATCGGGAGAAAACCACGGGCCTTTTTAGGCGGTGCCATGCCAAAGGGGGAGGAACTTTTATTAATCTCGGGGGAGTTTACATATACATCATTGTAGGAACTTGGAGTCATTAATGGAGCTCCAAGCTAAAAGAAGAAGAAGAATGAAGAATATAGTAGTAGGAACTTGTATGAATCTAGCCTTGGCCTCCCACCTTCCGTCATGCGTAGCCTTGTATTTAAAGGGGAGTACATGCATGCATCCCCAACAATGCCATGAGGTGGCCATGTCACCTCCATGTGCACATGTTTTGTAAATGGGCTCCACGGAATATTTTTATATCACCTCAAATATATATTCTTCTGTCCATATATCTCTGGTTCTGTCTTGAATTATTTATCTGATTTATATCTTGGGCCAGATAAAATTGGACTTTCTTGTACTGTTCAAATAATATTGGATTAGGAAAAATCCCTAATCCATCAAATATCAATCACAAAAACTTGCTTTTATTAATCCACGTGTCACTTTCTCATGGCTCAAAATTATTGAGTTAGAGGGAATACTATTTTCAAAAGAAACTTTATTTTGCTGGGTCAACTCGGCGGCTCATCCACAGTTGGGTTAACTGACACTTGAGCTGCGCTGATTTGATTTTTTGAAGATCTGATATGATATCATTGGTGTTATAATTAAAGTTATCTTTGATGTGATCTAGTCTTATTATAATAACAATAAATAATAAGTAGAAAAAGTAAGTTGAACGAACACAACCTTAGACTTGTTCAATGTAATTTTTAATTCTAGTTATCTAGGTATTATAGTTTCTAGAATTTAATTCTATTTGGATTGCATTGTGACACTAGACTTTAAGATTTCATGTTTCAATCTCAAGATTCTAGTTGTCACTTAAAATTAAAGTGTAGCGGACATATCCCATAATCTGAATGGACAAAATCGCCTATGTGGGACAAAATGTAATACTCCCTTCATCCTAAAATGATCTTCTTAGACACTATTGACATGATCAAATTCTACTTTACCTATTTTCATTAGTTATTTGATAAAATAATATAGTCATTGTATCTCTTGTTTTGTACACCTTTGATATAGTTTTAAAATATATAATTTTTATTTTTAAATTTTACACCTTGATGGGTGTATTCCACCCTGAACCCGGTCTGAATAAAATAACCGTTCAGGTTACAATCATGATAGCGTGGAAGATTTAAATTAAGGATAAGCCACCTGTTAAGTTCTAAAAATTGACCGATGCTGTGCGTAAACCAACCGGTCAGATTATATGACTTCGAGCTAGCGGACTTCTGATCCTTCAAAGCATAAGAGATAAACCTACCGGGTAGGATTCTGCGATGAAAGTGTCGGCATGAATAAACTCCAAGATCGTTTGGACGATAGTGACTGATTTTCAATGAAAGATTGGGGAAATATTCCCTCAATTTCTGTTGGACACTACGTGTCGAAAGAGGAATCATCAGTACAAAACGACAAGGAAATGAGACAAGATACTACGAGACAAAAGAGGGGAGCCACCTCGCACCCTCAGAGAACATGGGACGACGTGGACGCACGATGCTCTGTCCCCTCCCTTTCCTATAAATACCTGTGTAACCCTCAAAGGAAGGGATCGAAGTTCTTCTCTCTAAAATCCTTGTGTAACAGTTCCCATGCACTTTACTATATTCTAATAACTATTAGGATACATGTGTTTCCATCTACAGTCCTCCCGGTTAACCTTTGCGTTTAATACTGTTTACTTTCTCGAATCCAGTAAACAATCTAAGACCCGATCTAGAACTGTTTACCCGGTGGTTAATTTATACCATCATTTTTGGCGCCACCCGTGGGACCATAAGGTTATTTTTTTCATACCAAAAGAACCTACTCACGGAAACACCACTTTCTCAGAATGTCTTCAAGCCAGTTGAACAACACAACATCTGCCTCGGTGCAAGCCACCGCTGAAGGAATAACCATGACGATGGTTACTTCCCAACCAGCTCACTCTACTACCGTGATGCCAATGGGTTTTAGCCCCATCTCGGCACCAACCATCAATGCTCCATTCACAATCCCCATCCCATCTGTCGGGATAAGGGTCACATTTCCCCCAACAGAATGGAGGGATGTCATTCCTCCCGGGAATGTTTCCATTCGCTCTCCCAGGCGCCGGAACATTACTGCTACAGGCCCCGATGGCAGTGTCTCCCTTCCAGACACCGGTGCCCCAACCATCGCCTTTTCTTCCACAGGTGGTCAACACCATGGCCCCTGTCAATCTGAACAGTGCACTGAATGTGGCCGGGCCATCACGCCCTCCCCAAAGTGGACGCCACCCGCAGAGCATCCCTGAGGGTCATTGCATCTCAATTGAGAATGATGACGGAGAGTGTGACATCCCTAGAGCCCACAAGAAGAAGAAGGGCAAGAACCTAAGGCGGGAAACCTCTCGAGACTCTGCCTTTGACAAACTAGGAGAGAGGGAGGAATGCCAGCGTAAATCTGCAAAGCTGAGGTTGGGACAAAGCACGACCCATGTCAGCGCATTTGCCTGATTAGGCGGGGGGAGGGAGGCCGAGCCTACCCGTACCCATCGCACCCGGTCAAATCAGACTGAACCAGCTAAATCACGGGTTTCGCGCCGTGAGGAAGAAGTAGAATGTAGGGATGACAATGGGTCGGGTTCGGGTCAGATAGGACTATACCCGAACCTGACTCAACTTTTAAAACCGAAACTCGAACCCGACATTCCAAACCGGGCGCGAACCCAACTTTTAACTAATAATCAATTTGATGTACCCCAATAATTTTTAAAAGATTAAATCTATTTTTTTTGTGTCTCATTTTTATTAGGGAATTATAAAAATGATTATAAAAGGCATACTTGATATAGTAGCACTTTGTTAAGAGATTATACGAAGTGTTCATTATACCCATAGATAGGCTTTTATTTTATAAAATATTCGGGTTTGAGTTGGGTCGGGTGCGGGTTCGGGTCAGGTAAAATTATAAACCCACATCCGACTTGACCCGATGTCGGGTTCGGGTAAAACATTTCGGGTCGGGTTCATATTATTTTATTCTCAGTTCGGGTTAAGATATTTTAGTGGTCGGTCGGGTCAGTTGAGCTTGGGTTTGGGCTGAATTGCCATCCCTAGCAGAAAGCCAACCATGCGAACCGGTGAGAAGCAGGTTGGGAAACCCGGGTGACTGGGTCCAATAAATGGAGGCAAAGCTGGAGATGCTAGAGAGAAGGGTGGATGAGAAGAATGACAAGGATAAACCCCTTGCGGATTCTCCATTCACTGCAAGGGTCCACTTGACACCTTTTCCTCGAAAGGTAAAGGTGGAAGCCCTAAAATTCACAGGAAAGGAGAATCCCGAAATCCATTTGGATTCCTTTAACCAGAGTGTGTGTGACCATGATGGGGTGCACCGGTGAAGAAAAATGCCTTCTTTTCTTCAGACCCTACGAGGTAGGGCCACAGAATGGTTCAATAAACTCCCCCCGGGAGGTATTGATTTATTTGCTGAATTGGCCTCAAAACTCAAGGCCAAGTTCCAGGAAAACTGCAGGAAAAGGAAGAAGTTCACCTATCTGAGCACAACCTGGAATGGGGAATCTGAGAACCTTACTAAATTCCTAACCCAGTGGAAGGATGAGGTGGACAAAGTCGAGGAGATGGATGACAAGACGGTCTTGTCGCTCTTGTTGAACGACCTGCGTGCCGGACAACAATACAAGGAGTTCTGCCGGAGGCCCCCAACGACTTATCAAGAGGCTTATCACGCGACTTAGGTATTCGTTGAGGTTTAAAACCAAGACCAGGCAAAGAACGAAGCGGAACGCGGCCACAAGCCCAAGCTGGTGCAGGTTAAGAAGGAAGACGCTCCTGGGCCTAGCAAGCCCAGACACCATTATGACCTGGTCATACATGTGGTTAAGGCGGAGGAGTGTCTCGAAGTGAGGAAGGCATCGGTCAATCCTGGAGGGAACCCGGTGTAGGGTTCTACGCTTGGATAGGGCAGCGGAAAAAAAAAATTTTGGTGTCCAAACGTAGATCCACCCAAGACCTCTTATGATTATTATAAGTTATTGTTAAGGAATATATCTTTCTTGGCGAGCAAGCAACGATATGTGCTGGTTGGAGGATTGGTCCAAGAGCTAGCCACAGAAGTATATGACCTCCGGTTAAGACACACGAACAATGAAGAATGTTCTAGAGAAAATTATACTAGTAATTTTTCTCTAGAATATTTCTAAAATATAAAATATTTGGTGTAAGTATTAAGAGAACAAAACAAAATTTTGTCTCTTAAGAAAGAGAGGGTGGGCCGAAAATTCTAATAATTTAAAAGGGTGGGATGATCTCCTATTTATAAGGAGCATAATCTTCATTCCTATTCTACTTGGGGAATTTCGAATCCCACTTAAGTAAGCTTCTAATTTATTTTGTCAACTTTAACTATCATATAATTAACAAAAAATAAATAATACAACATTTATAATATATACATATACATACATACATACATATATATATATACATATATATATATATATAATGTTATTTTTTTTCCATAAATAATATTTGACAAACTTAATTGTCATATAATTAAAATGTTCAAATATAAAATATCTAAATATATTTTAAGCCATAATAATAATAAAATAATAAACAATTTATTATTTATATATATATATATCCAAATATATATATATATATATATATATATATATATATATTATTAAATATATTTGACATACTTAATCATCATATAATTAAAATGTCCAAATATAAATATAAATATAAATATATATATATATATATATATATATATATATATATAATGGAACTTTACCCCACTTAAATATTCTACACTTTCATATGTTCTATGTGTGTGACTCGATTAAATACTAGCTCTATTCTAGAACTTTACCCATATAATACTCGAACTTTACCCATATAATACCTAGCTCTATTCTAGGTATCTATAAAATTGGCCATAGTATCGATTAAATACTACAAGTGATAAGCGGTATCTAGCAACACATTATCACCCCCAAATTATAGATTAAAGCTCTTGGAACAATTCATTCAACGACACATCATATTTGGATAACTCTTATTCCTTTATCAATAATATCTTGATTTAACACAAGATATGGGGTGTGTCACCTTATTAGAGTTAAATCAATGGTTTATTGATTCTTCGATTGACTTGTGGGATTCAAATAACATATTTATTTGGGCATGGCCATGCACTTCCCAAGTCACATCAATCAGTGGGCCCTAAGATATTATACTTCATCAAAGAAGAGATAAATTCTATCTACGTCATTCACATCTTCACTTAAGTTTCATTGCATACCCAAAACATAATTGTACATCCACCAATATTTCAGATGGCATAAACTATGCTTCAAAATATGCAACTCAACTTATCAAAGATCGTAATGACTTCAAGTCGAAGGATAGTTATACTAATGGTCGCATGAGAATAATATTAACACTCTAACTTAAACCCACATATTATTCTCATAGCGGGTCAATCCAACAACATATCCATTATGTTTGCCTATATATAGATTCAGATAACACTTTATCTATAAACTATGAGACGCAGCTATCTCATCTCATACGTATTAGTCTTGATATATTATGATGTCCGTATTGTCATAATATTCGACTAAGGATACTTTAGACGTAGCCTCCATCTTTGTAACAGCCTCATAATCAAAATATCGTAGTTCTCATCTAAGTTACTAGAGTGCCTACACTATGGACTAAAGCTATGTTTAAATCACATGAGATGACTTAAACAATCTTTAGGGCCTATTGTTCTTGATATCATAGATATGGAATCATAAGTTGGCCTCTAGGGCTCACTTATATTCAACACCCGGGTCGCCAATGGTCGGATAAATAATGTTCGTATCATAAGTCTAATTCCCATAACACTTCTGGATGTAAAAGTGTCAAAGGAGTTGTTCGGTAAATGATCGATAGCGAAGAGCTGGGTATGGAATACCTGCAGAAAGCGCAGGAGAAAAACCACCAATGGGTGAGGCTTGAAGCTCAGAGAGACGACCGGGACAAAGACCGGAGGAGAAATGACCGGAATAGAGAACGGAGGCTAGCTCCAGACAAAGAGCATATCGAGATCGGATGATCTTTGGTGGACCGGAGAGTGGAGACTCCGCTGTTTAGAGGAAAAACTGGGTCCGAAGCATTTACGTGGGAGAAGTAAGCGCGGACCCAGTTAGAAGAAAGCAAACAAGGAGAGAACTGATCGTCTTCACCGACTAGGATCTCCCTTCTACCGGTGATGACCTGACCCTTTGGTTATCACCATGGACATCAACGAGGTGGATGTCTTCCAGGTATTGATTGACACGGGCAGTAGTGTCAATATACTGTACCTAGAAACTTTTCAAAAGCTCAGGTTCTGTCAGACACAACATGAACCTTTGAGAACTCCCTTTCAGGCTTCATGGGAGATACAGTGGAAGCAGAAGGATCAATCGTCCTACTGGTCGAACTGGGCACGGGGGGACAAAAACGTGTAGAAAAAGATGCGATTTATTGTTGTGGACATCAAGTGTGTCCATAACGCTATCCTTGGGAGACCGGGCATCAACCAAGTCTGGGTCGTGATCTCCATGCCCCACATATGCATGAAAATCTACACCCCATGTGGTGTGGGCAAAGTCCGGGGAGATCAGAGAAACACACAGGAATGATAAACCCAAGCGGTTAAAAAGATGACGAAGGGCGTCAATGTCATCTCGCAAGAGATAACGGAAGGCAAAACCTCGGAGAGGATTGAACCCGAAGCTGAAATGGTGGAAATCCAACTCCACCCGGGTGACTCTTCAAGGATGGTTTGAATTGGAGCAAACTTGCCTGAAGACTTATGGGAAGAAATAACTCGGGTACTCCGAGAGTACGCGGGTATCTTTGCCTGGAGCGTGGCAGATATATATGTCTGAGATAGACCGCTTTGTTATCTGTCACCGGCTGGCAGTGGGGAAAGGAGCCAGGGCATTAAGGCACAAGAAGAGATACCTGGCCAGCGATCGCCGGGACTTCGTCAGGAAGGAGGTAAAAGACCTCAGTGTTGGCCACATTTGGGAAGTAAGACATCTCGAATGGCTAGCAAACGTTGTGCTCGCCCCCAAAGGGGACACTTGGAGGATGTGCGTGGATTACACAGACTTAAACAAAGCTTGTCCGATGGACTCCTACCCACTACCGAGTCTGAATCAGATGATGGATGAAACTGCCGGGTGTGAGCTCTTAAGTTTCATGGACGTCTTCAAGGGCTACCACCAGATCCACATGGAAAAGGAGGATGAGGAAAAAACGCCGTTCCTCACACTCGAAGGTACCTACTGCTACCGGGTGATGGTGTTTGGTTTGAAAAACTCAGGGGCAACATACCTTTTTCTCTGTAATGTTTTTTAAAAATAAAATATACTCCGTATGAGTTTTTTTGGATAAGAATTTGATGTTTTAATCATGTGTATACTTAGACGACTTTATAGTTAAATCAACTCTAAATTTTTTAAATTTTATATTTTTTAGAGTAAATTCCATAAAAGGTCCTCAGATATAGGTCGTTTTACATAATTAGTCCCTACATATCAAATATTACTAATTTAGTCCCCAATTATTATATCATTTTTTACGAATGGTCCTTTGTTAACGTTTTTGTTAAGAACATGGATAAAATTGTATATTGATACTTCTCTCTCCTCAATTAAACTTCCTCCCTCCTCTCATACTCTTTCTCAAACTGGTCGCTGAGTTTGAAGCTTTAAACCCAAAACTGAAATGATCATTCCTCTCTCAATTATTAGTCTTCCTGGTGGAACCTAAAATCAAAACAAATAAGTTTTATGGATGAGTTTTATCGATTAGTCTCAAGAAATTGGAAAGAAAATAAACATTAAAACTCATCCATGAAGGTTACTGGTTTCGAATTTGGGTTCTACCAGTTAGACAAACAATTGAGAGAAGAGTGATGATTTCGGGTTTGGGTTCAAAGCTTCAAACTCAGCGACGGATTTGGGAAAGGAGTGCGAAGGGAGGGAGGAAGCTTAATTGAGGAGAGAAAGGAGCGTGAATTTACAATTTTATCCATGTTCTTAACGGAAATTTTAAATTTTCATTTCAAAATTATTCAAAACTATTTAATTTTTTATTGAAATTTATAAATAATAAATTTGTGATTTTTGTAATCTTTTTGTTTGTGAACCTAATATTTTTTTAAAAAAAAAATCAACAGAGAATTTTCAACACATCGTAAATTTAAGCCAATGGGCCCAGTAGTCTTTGTAATGGGACGTTGTAACGCTCCTTAATAAATTATTAGAGGACCTATTGGCTGAATACGGCCAAGTTAAACTCTCCATCATGTACCAAAAAAATAACTCACCACCTTGAATTAAAACGTTGCCTCGAAAATTGGTTACCCATCTTTTCCTTCATGTAATAATCCCCTAGGGCAGATTAAATTAAATTAATCACAAAATAAAGTCACAAGGGTTGACATCTCTAAATATGAGTAAAACAAAGAGAAAATATTAAAATAGGAGAAAGTATTAAAATGGAAGTTTCATGTTTTTATTTTCTAAAAAGGAGTTCGCACTCTGGTAATAAGTCATTATACATGTGAATTTTAGTATAATTTTTGATAATGTACATAATCATGATTGGTAATGCAAATGTATTTTAACTCTTATTTCGAAAATAAAAACATGGAACTTCTATTTTGATATATTTTCGATGTTTTACTTTTATTTTAGTCTTTTTCCCAAAATGAAGCGACTGGTGCTCCATATAACCTCCATATCAACGTTTGTAGTTTAAGCAATTCCTTAAGTATCTTGCGCTAAAGATGATCTAACACCCTTAAAAGAATAATTAAAGGGCATGTGCTAACAGGTGTGTTGGATGTTTCATTAGCAGAGCGAGCAACAAAGAGTCAAAGACCACAAATAAATCTTCTCCACAAAGTGTTTTGAACTAAGATTTTTATCTCGGAGTTCT